TTATTTGCTAAAGATTAGAAATCCAGAAACCATTTAAGGCGGCAAGTGCATTGTTCCATCATTGATGATAGATAAAATGAGATTCAGATCCAGCATTCTCTTCACAAAGGAAGGCATTAAAAATGAAGGACGAGCATCTGTTAAATAGGCATTAAAAATGAACAGTATTGTACCATCATTCAAATTCTTACCTTCCTGCCACCAGTGTACAAGTAGTTTCCATCTTTTGAGAATTGAACCTGATAAGTGAATGTTATGGTTGAAGAATCAATTAAGGATTTGCGTATAAGAAAAAAAAAATGAATGACAGCTCTACCAACTTAAATGTGTTACCCCACCTTCTTGACCATGCAATACATAGAGAAGTTCCATGTTATCTTCTCTATGTATGGCAGTGCTTTGGCTATAGGAGCCTGTAGCCAGCAATCCTGAATGCTTGGGCAGAAAGCAATTGAGGATATAATGCCTAAACGGATAAGGTAAAAGGTGTCAGAATAATAAATGTATAATGAGGAATAATGTTGGCATCAGAAGGTAGGAGAATTAATTAACTTCAACTGCACTATCTAGATTCACTTTGAGAGAACTATCAGATTGATGTGTTTGACACAGATAATCGTCCGCTTCTTGTCTTATTTATAGAGCTGAGTGCTGAAATGTTGATCATAAAGAGAAGCAGCTAGTGGAAAATACCTGATTGCCCTTCTTTATTTCCTTGAAGGGTGGAGTGCTGGGTAAAATCTCTACCAGGCCGATGAATATCAAATATTCTTATGGATTTGTTGTATCCAGCAAATATCCTAACTTAAAAAGAATAAAGAGTCAGTGAAAACTTTCTTTTGTAGCAAATTACCAGCTAATACATAAATAAAGAAAATGAAGCAGATCACCATACCACAAAAGAACTTAGCATTGTAGTGCAAATGAAGTAAGAAGATACTCAAAGAAAAAACTGAAAATGCATTAGTCTTAAAGTCTATGAAACAAAATGAAAAACCAAAAGGGAAAAGCATCTTTTGGGAGAGCAGAGCGTCAAAAGATTCATTAGCAACCACCGAAAATTGACAACTAGGTCTCATTTCTGTCATTCTGATCATAGATTACAGTTTTTCAATAAATCAAAAGAGTTCATTTACGCTTCACTGAGATGGTGTGATATCTACAAAGGTATTGTGATCATACGATACGTATCCAGATGTCTTTATCAAAAAAAAAATGCACTGTAATCATACTATCACTCCAGCCAACCCTCTAGACAAGTTGGTATTTCCACTTTGAACAAAAAATCAAGAAAAGAAATACAACAGAACTTTTGACCCTCAAGAATGCACTCTTTACCTTCAAAAGATCTCCTATCTTGCCTTCCACAAAATATAAAAGATAAAATAAGGAGTTGTCTTCCATGTCTTCTTTTTCTTTGCATCTATTTGATAGAGCGTCTTTTTCTTCACATCCATTTTGAAGATTACCTAACCTGTACTTCGTTAGTTCCATTTAATATGGGCACGTGTTTGAAACATTTTAATTTTAACATTTCCAACTTATCCTCAATAACATGCTCTTATAGTAATTGGCATTGCATGTCGAAAGCCACTAGATACTAGTGGTACTTTTGGTTGTTATTAGTTTACATATACCTGCACGAGTGTGCAAGCACACGCACATATTATATATGTATATAGAGGGAGACTTTATGTGATCAAAGTCATCCTTTCTTTTTTAAACTTTATGTTCGGTCAATCACCGCCATATAAAATGAATAAGAGGTATATGTATTTGCCAGGATAGCTGAAAATCTCATTTTGATGGCCTCTCTACTAACTCACAGATTACAGCTCAATTTAATCTACCGATTAGATGGGTTATCCAACAGGTCTGTCAGTAATTATATTGACTAATCTGGAAAACGTAAATCATGTCCGTGGAAGTAAACCCTTTAATCATCAATCATATAAGCAGAAAAAATATTCTGCACTAAACACGCTTAACCTAGTAAACTAATGAAATCAGAGATCACACAGCATCAGTCATTTCTATAATGTCATTGACTGCAAATAAAAGCTTATACCTAGTGTGCTATGTTTCTTGTTTTCTTCTTTTTTTCAAAACAAAACTAAGATACTACAAATAAAATTAAGGAGAAAGAACCAGGTCCCTCTACATGAACTGTGACCTACGAGGGAGGAAAGAGAAAAGCAGTCTGATAAAAAAATGCTTACTTAGTCCCTGCTGGGTTGAAAGCAATTGAGAAGGCAGCAATGATCTCGTCCATGGCATCATAAGCACGGTAAGTACAGCGTAACTGCAACCACCCAAGAAAAGATAATGTAGGGATTAGGGAAGAATATCTTCCTAGCTAAGCTTGTTGAGCAGCTACACAAATCATGGGCAGGTAGCAACCCATCAAAGAGCAAGCGAGAGGAAAAAAATATATGTAGCAACAGTTCTAAAGACGATGACACACCTGTCCAGTAGTAGCATCCCAAAGATGAATAGGGTGATCACGGGCAGTACTTGCAAAAACACATGTCTCTGGACCTGGGTCATGAAAGAAAACTCTAGTTAACTTTTTCTTATCACAGTCAGCATTACCACAAATAACAAGGCAATTGACATACTTGAAGAAGACATATAGGGATACCGGCAATAGTCATATACAGACTCCCCCTCACTCATGACAAGGCTTGCAGCATAAGAATCTGCAGATAATCAGTCACAGACTTAAACACAATAAACAACAACATGAGAATGGCAAATCATATCAAGTTTAATACTGAACACACATGATCGACAAATTTCAACATCAAAAGTATAAAAGGCTTCCACAACGCCTCTTCACATTCAAACCTAAATATACTAACAGCATATAAATTTACCTGTATCAGCAGCTGATGAAGAAGTATCAGCAAGCCATCCACTTTCAACATATGGCCTATCAACGAAGCATAGCCAAACTAAGAAAGCAACTCAATGACAATGGAAATGCTAGAATAACTATGTACCATTTCTTACTATGTGCTTCATAGTCAGCCTCATAATAACACCAGAAACGAATCTATCTATCCGTCAATCAATCAATTATTTTCCCTAATTCACAAACTCATTAGGGTCAGCTATATGAATTCTCTATATCCATTCCCCTCTCTGTTTAGATAATTCATCATATCATGAGTATTTCTACGCTAGTTTTCAGCTTACCACAGCCTTTCTCCTTTAATAAAGGCTTGGGCCAGAATTGCAAAGCTCAGACAGCCAGTTTTAAGTGAAACTTCATCTACCAATAAAATTTTAAGCCCCAGATATCCAATCGCAAAAAGATGAACTAATTCAAAATAATTGTATTTATAAAAGAAAGTACAAAAAATTAATATTTTACACTTATTCAAGTCTTAAAATTTATAAATTTCACAGTTGTGCCGGGGTAAAAATTATCATTATTTATAGTTGTGGGAGAAAAATTACAAGGTAAAGGAACAAAAGGTATTATCATCAGAGCAAGTGAGGAAGCAAGAACCATCAGGGGACCTATAATTCCAGAGGAAAAATAGATTTAACCATAATATATTTTAGACTTGGACGTATGTTCGGATCGGATTTTGGATGACCCGGGAGCGTTTCGGCGCCTATTGTGGAAGGTTGAAGTTTTGGAAGAATTTCATAAATTTGGGTTGAAATGCATTTCAATGTTATTAATGTCCGTTTGGGATTTCGAGTATGGGAATAGCTCCGTATGGTAATTCTGGTATTGGAAGCGCGTCCGGATGTGAATTTGGAGGTCCGTAGGTCATTTGGCGAAAATTGGAAATTTGGATAATTTTTGAGAAGTTTGACCGGGAGTGGACTTTTTGATATCGGGGTCGGAATCCGATTCCGAAAATAGGAGTAGGTCCGTAATGTCAATTATGACTCGTGTCCAAAATCTAAGGTCAATCGGACGTGATTTGATAAGTTTTGGCATCGATTGTAGAAGTTTGAAGTTTCAAAGTTCATTAAGTTTGAATTGGAGGGTGATTCGTAGTTTCGATTTTGTTTGGCGTGATTAGAGGCCTCGACTAAGTTCGTAATGTGTTGGTATATTTGGTTGAGGTCCTGAGGGCCTCGGGTGGATTCCGGATGATTGACAGATCGAGTTTGGACTTGGAAGAAGTGTTGGAGCAGCTGCCTTCTGGTGTAACCGCACCTGCGAGGTTTTGGCCGCAGGTGCGGAGCCGCAAAAGCGGCCAAAAGGGCGCAAATGCGATTTTTGTTAGGCAGTGATGAGACCGCAGATGCGGTTATCTCGCCGCAGAAGCGAGACCGCACTTGCGGAAGGGAAGGCGCAGAAGTGGAAGCAGGCAGCTGGGGGCATCTCTGCAGAAGCAGAATATTTGCCGCACCTACGGAACTGCAGAAGCGGTCAAGTGACTGCAGGTGCGAGAAGTCGTTGGGCAGAAGAGTTCTTTAAGAACGGGGATTTCGCCCATTTTCTTCCATTCTCTCTTGGTTGGGCGATTTTTGGAGAGCTTCAAGTGGGGGTTTTTCTTCATCTTCAAAAATTTTCGGAATCCGGGTACGTGGGCCCGAGGGTTGCTTTATCGACTTTTCGAGCGGAGTTGGAAATTTGTCTAAATTGATTTGTTATGAGTATTAGAGTATATTTTTATTAGTTTGCACATTGTTTGACTAGTTTTGGAGCGACGGGCATCGGTTTGAGGTGTTATAGGGCTTTGGAGCCGGTTATGGAACTTCAGAGCGAGGTAAGTCTCTTGTCTAACCCTGTGAGGGGGAAACCACCCCTAGGTGATATTTATTATTATGTGCAACTAGTTGTGGGCGCTACGTACGTACGAGGTGATAAGAGTCCGTACGTAGCTAAAGCATGTCTATGTCCGGGTAGACTTAGGACCTTATCCTGTAATAATTAAATTATTTGAACTTGTTCTGCTTGCTTATTTAATTAAAGTTATAACTGAAATTGATTTAGAAATAAAAGTATCAGGTCAAGCTTTAATACCCTGAGTTGTTGCTAAGGTATTCGATAAATGTAAAGCGATGTACTTATTATTGTGCTCATGTACTTTATTGTAAGCGCGTATCTTGTGATTTGGAAAAATTCCTTCCTTTCTTGTGGAGCGGGCCGAACACTTCGGCAGTATCTCTCGGAATGGGATAAATTCCTTCCTTTCTTGTGAAGCGGGCCGAACGCCTCGGCAGCATATAGAGTTGCATCTCTGGTTCGTGCCGTTCGACCCTCGGCAGTGTACACACTACTCCGGATCAGGCCGAACGACCTCGGCAGAATCGTGCGTTATACCGCTAGTAGTCCGAATATTCACGAGATAAACTTTTTACTGACGCCCGGTATTTTATGGTATTTCTTATCTAATTGGTATTGGCACTTGGCATTTATTCAGGGATATTGAGGTAGGATACATGATCGATAAATTTATGATAAAAAGGAAATAATTGGAACATTATGAAACTCCAGATTTCTCCCCTATTGTTGTGTACTTTACAATTGTATGAATTATCGTATTATTTATTTAACTGGACCTCTAGTAAGTGTCGATGTCGATCCCTCGTCACTACTCCTCCGGGGTTAGGCTAGATACTTACTGAGTACTCGTTGATTTACGTACTCATACTACACTTGCTGCACATTTTGTGCAGGTGCATATATACCCGGTGATCTTTTGGGAGCAGAGGCACGGATGTTGCGGGGACTTACCGTGAGCTGCATTTCATGTTATGATCTGCAGCCTGCAGAGTCTCCATCAGAGTTATTTATGTTTCTCCTATCCAATTTGTATTCCAGACAGATATTGTATTTTATTATATTTCCTAGTTGATGCTCATGCACTTGTGACACCGGGTTTTGGAGTGATTATGGGTTGTTTGGTATTGAAATGGTGAAAATATTTTTATTTACTCTGTAAAGTCCATCTTTTATTATTCAATTAAAGAAAATCGTGAATTTCAAATATTAAAAGGAGTAATTAAGTTAATTAATTATGGTTGGCTTGCCTCACAATGGTGTTAGGCGCCATCACGACCTATAATAAATTTTGAGTCGTGACAATAAACCACTAAATATTCTTAGAAAGAAAAATTGATAGAGGAAAGAGCTTACCTTGAAGAAGTAACCCATTTTCTCATTGTTGACTTCTTTATTTGGAGCCAAAGATTTGGCGTTCTCCATTTTGACAGAAATTTAAAGCTAGAACTTTTAAGATTTCATCTTGCAAACAAAAGAATTAACTTGGCCTGATTGATGGATGTTACAATAAAAGTAATGATGTGACTATAGAGTATATGTCACGACCTCAATTCACCCTCCTTAGGATGTCGTGATGGCACTTAATCTCTAAGACTAGGTAAGCCTAACAAATTTGCGGAATAACATAATAATAAACTGAACTCCAATCTCAACACATGAAATAAATATAAAACTCCAAATCAATAATTACAACTCCCAAAACCTGGTGAAAATAAGTCACAAGCTTCTAAGAGAAAATACTAAGTGTCTCTATACATCAGAGTCTAAAGAGAATAAGGAAAACGACATAGTAAGGATAAAGGGGGACTCCGAAGTCTGCGGACACTGGTATATCTACCTTGAAGTCTCCACATGCGATCCAACTCACTAGTATCTGGTCTACCTGGATCTGCACAAAAAGATGTGCAAAGTGTAGTATGAGTACGCCACAACGATACCTAGTAAGTGCCGAGCCTAATCTCGGTAGAGTAGTGACGAGGTCAGATCAGGGCCCTACTGGTTTAAAAGAAAAGTAAGGCAGAAGATATAATAATATTTTGAAATGACTGCTAATTTAAAACAAGAAGTTTCAGAAATTAACAGATCAGCAATTAGAGGTAACAACAGGGGCACTCCCGAGGTACTGCCTCGTAGTCCCAAATGTAAATATGCATGATATGAGGGATCTCCCGAGGTACCGCCTCGTAGTCCCAAAGTAAATATGCAGTACAAGAGGGGATATCCCGAGTAAACGCTTCGTAGTCCCAAAGTAAATATGCAGTACAAGAGGGGATATCCCGAGTAAACGCTTCGTAGTCCCAAAGTAAATATGCAGTTCAGGGGGATCTCCCGAGTAAACGCCTTGTTGTCCCAAAGTAAATATGCACTACATCTCCCGAGTAAACGCCTCGTAGTCCCAAAGTAAATATGCAGTACAGGGAGATCTCCCGAGTAAATGCCTCGTAGTCCCAAAGTAAATATGCAATACAGAGGGATCTCCAGAGGAACAGGAACCGCCTCGTAGTCTCAAAGTAAATATGCAGCCGATAATCGAAGGAACAACGAATTTATAGCAAGAGATCTTACAGTTAAAGATTTAATTCAAATCAAGGAAAGCAGGTAATTCAACTAAGCATGTTGTACAAATTGTAAGTAAGATTTAAGATACGTAGACATGCGACACTAGGCTAAACATGATCACTAAATATGGTAAGGCAACTCAATTAAGGAATTTAAAAGAAGACAACTCAGCAAGAACCGAAATTTCTACAATTAGCCCGTGTATGCACTCGTCACCTCGCGTACACGGCGCTCACATATCACAAAGTGTTACAATAGTACCAAATCCTAAGGGAATTTCCCCCACACAAAGTTAGACAAGTCACTTACCTTAAATCTCGCTCAATCAATCGATAAGGATGCCTTTCCCTCGATTTTTCGACTCTGAATGGCCCAAATCTAGCCAAAATCAACTACATATCATGAATACAACTACAAGAAGCTAATTTAAATATTGAAAATATGACTTAAGCAAAGAATCAAAAAATCGCCCCAAGAAGTCGACCCGGGACCACATCTCAGAATCGGGTAAAACTCACAAAATACGAATACCCATTCGATATCGAGTCCACCCATGCCAAAATTACCAATATCCGACAACAAGTCGCCACTCACAACAACAACAACAATAACAACCCAGTATAATCCCATTAGTGGGGTCTGGGGAGGGTAGTGTGTACGCAGACCTTACCTCTACCATGAGGTAGAGAGGCTGTTTCCGATAAACCGTCGGCTTCTCTCCCTCCAAGAACTCCTCACCTTGCTCTTGGGGTGACTCGAACTCACAACCTCTTGGTTGGAAGTGGAGGGTGCTTACTTCTAAAGCAACCCACTTTTGTCAACCCAAGTCGCCACTCAAATCCCCAAATTAAACTCTCCAAATTTCTAGTCTCAAACTCCCACATTTCACCTTAAACACACACAATCTAGGTGAAAATATCAATAAGGAAACAAGATTATTGATAAAAAAATGTACAAGAGACTTACCTCAAGAAATCTCAAAAATGCTCTCAAAAATCGCCAAGACCCGAGCTCAAAATGTTTAAAATGAGCAAAAATTGCGAACCCTTGCATTTAAGTGTTCTGCCCAGACTTTTCACTTCTGCGGAAACTTAACCGCATCTGCGGTCTCGCAGATGCGAGGTCCTCCCCGCTTCTGCGGCTTATATCGCTTCTGCGGGCAAGAGGTCCGCTTCTGCGGCCTCACTTCTGCGGCCTCACTCCAACTTTCGCCAATTAACGCTAAAATGACCTACAGACTTCTAATTCAATATCCGAACATGCTCCTAAGACCAAAATCTCCCTACGGAACTATTGGAACCTAGGAAACTCCATTCCGGAGTCGTCTTCACATAATTCAAACTACGGTCAAATCCTACGACTTAGACTCCCTTCTTAGGGACTAAGTGTCCCATTTCACTCTGAAACCAAAGATAAATCCTCCCGGCAAGTTACATAACTACAAAATAAATTAGAGAAAGCAATAAATAGGGGTTCGGGGCTTCTACTCTCAAAACGACTAGTCGGATCATTACAGTATATTTTATACGTAGTGTGTGGGTTGTTTGGGGCTAAGGGCTTTTTTATATTTAGCATGAAAAGGGTAGTATGATGTGGTATGTCATGTCCTCACACATTCATCACTGATTTTCCCCATCTTTAATAGGACAATTCCATTCTCTTCGTCGATTCCTTTCCTTTGTTGCTGTCAGCTGGTTGTGAGGGTTAGTTATTTACTTTATACTACACTTTATTTATTTGTCATTTGTTATTTGTTGTGTATCTCTATATTAAAGTTCTTTTGGTTTTCTAATTCAGGCTCTTTATTTTTTTTAATACTTCATTTATTCGCTATAATTTTCACGGAAATACCTTTTCTATTTTATTTTTATTTCTTGGATTGGGTCAATTTCTGTAAAGAAGATTCAGGATTTGTTAAATGCCTCCAAAAATTCATCTTTGACTACATTATTTAACACCATCATTGAAAAATAAAAAGGGCCGGTATACAATTTATCATAACTTGATAATAATAACCAAAATTATTTATGTGTTATTCAACTTCAATGCATTACCAGCAAGTCTAAACAAAAGAGCAATAATACTATTACAACTATGAAAATAGCTGAGATGTTGCTCATTGAAAACTAAAATTACAAATAACTAGGCCTCATTCGCCTACACGAAATATCCTTTAATCTCTTTCACCAAAGGAACACAGCTACCAAAGATTTCAGCAGATCCTACAAACTTTCCATCGACCAAGTTCGCACCAACATTCCCAGACTCAACCTATGCAAAGGTCACATTTGTTAGAACAAAAATTAGTTGTGAAAAAACTAAAGTATTAAATTATACGAGTAAACTAATTGTTGTTACACTCTTTCAGCCTCCATTGAAGATATATTCTTCAGGAACAAGCCTTTCTTTCATCATGTAAAATTGTAAAATCAGCGCCTGAACCGAGAATCAACCTAACAAACCCATCACGGGAACAAAGCTTGCACTGCATTTACATAAGTGCAGAAAAAAAATTATGTTAATAGTAAACAACTTTAAAATGATGAATAACTTATTTCTATTTTTTACCTTCAACTTGAGGTTAAAAATCTTCTCCTTATACCTACTCACTGTTTCATTCAAATAAGCACATTGCTCTCCTATTATATCCCCACAATTTTCACACCTCATCTAAAAGTAGATTTGCATACAAAAACAAATACGATAAGACAAAGTAATCTCTGCTAAATTCTAACTATGTAGAAGAAAAAGAAAAAGATAGAGGAAGAGGCTAAAACAGGGAATAAACCACTAGATATTCTTAGAAAGAAAAATAGACAGAGAAAAAAAATAATGGTAAGATAAGTATTCCTCTATTGAATTCTTACTATATATAAAAAAAAGAAAGAGATAGAGCAAGAGGTTAAAGCAGAGAGTAAACCACTAGATATTCTTAGGAAGAAAAATAGAAAGGGGAAAGAAAAAAATGATAAGACAAGTATTCTTCTTTTGAATTCTTACTATGTATAAGAAAAAGTAAAATAGAAAGAGGAAAGAAAAAATGGTAGGACAAGTATCCCTCTGTTGAATTCTTACTATGTATAATAAAAAGAAATAGATACAGGAAGAGGATAAAACAGAGAATAAACTACTAGATATTCTTAAGAAGAAAAATAGAACAAGGAAAGAAAAATGATAAGACACGTCTGTTGAATTCTTACTATGTATAAGAAAAAGAAATCGATGGAGGAAAAAAGGTTAAAATAGAGAATAAACCACTAAATATTCTTAAAAGAAAAATAGATAGAGGAAAGGTAAGACAATTTTTCTTTTAGTGAATTTTTACTATGTATAAGAAAAAGAAATAGAGAGAGGAAAAGAGGTTAAAATAGAAAATAAACCACTAAATATTAGTAGGAAGAAAAATAGACAGAGGAAAGAGTTTACCTTGAAGAAGTAACCCATTTTCTCATTGTCGACTCCTTTGTTTGGAGCCAAAGATTTGACGTTCTCCATTTTGGCAGAAATTTCAAGCTGGAACTTCTAAGATTTCATCTTGCAGACAAAAGAGTTGATTTGAGTTGATTGGTGGATGTTACAATGAAAGTAATGCTGTGACTATAGGGTACGTTATGTACGTAGTGTGTTGGTTGGTTCGGGCTAAGGGTTTTTTGACATTTGGCATAAAAAAGGTCGTATGGTGTGGTATATCATGTCCTGACGCATTCATCATCATTTTCCCCTATCTTTAATAGGCTTATTCCATTCTCTTCGTTGATCCCTTTCCTTTATTGTTGTCAGCTGATTGTGCGAGTTTGTTCTTTATTTTAAACTACACTTTATTTATTTATTATTTGTTGTGTATATCTATATTAAAGTTCTTT